TACTCATATGGTTTAATGAAATAAATAGCTTGTACTGACTCTATATTATGACTTCAGTCTTCTGAAACAGAAAAAAATTTGTCGGACAGCCAATACAAGTCTCACAATACAGTAGAGCACAAAAACGTGGCTCTATCAATATCACGAATGAATGAAAGAAAGCAAAAAAGGACCTGACATGTTATGTGCTGCTCTTGCTCTGAAATAAAACATGCCTGGAATGCTACATGGTTGGCACCAGGGTCTATCTAGGGACATGTTAGAAAATCTATTCTCACTGCCAACAGAAAAAGGTTCAAAGGCAATAACATGAAAAAGACATTTTCCAGGAAACCAAGGTAGTATCACCTTTATGAATTCAGAAAAAAATCTAACTTACCTGGTATAGGCAAACCCCCATCCTCCGACTCCTTTGTGGTCTCTACTCTGGCAACGTACACAAGGCGACAAATGTCTGGTTCAATTGTGTTATAGCGCTGCCCATTGAATGTATTGTAGAACATGTCAGCATCACCCTGTGATAATCAAAAGGTGTAATAACTTAAAAACATAAAACTCGCCAATCAAAAACATAATTTGCAACTAGTTGTAAAGATACTGTGCTAAAAGGCCATGCTAGTCTTCACCTGTGTTCGGAACTTGATGAGCACCATGTACTGGTTGGGTGTAGGATCTCTGATGATTCTCATATGCTGTATCTCAGAGTAGCATGGGGCTGTGAATTGGAGAAGATCATGAATTGTCATACAAGTAGGAACAGCCAACATGCACAACATTTCTGATCGTGATTCAGTCTCCTCCAAGCTTGTCTTCGTACTGCAAAGTAAATATAGCTTTCTTAGATTCAAGTGTGCAAAAATTTTCAGGTATCTTTACTTACATTTAGATATAAAAACTTCTTTCATCAGTATATATGTAATCATTTGTAAGTTATTGTATGACAGCCCATGAAAACAATAAAGCAAATGTGTCCTAAGATATAAACAAAAGAATTGCTGGTCATACTTTTCCTTGTACAGATGCAAAATTCCATGAGTGACATCCACCATTGGGTTTCCAGACACGAAGGTGACTCTGTCCTTAATGCTACGCCCTCTTCTCCCGGTGCCATCCTCACTGGGCCCTGGGGTGCCTATATAAGAAAAAGTTAAAACACTAGTGAATAAAACCTGTGAATGTCACAATAATGTCACAAAAATTAAAAACAAAGAAGTGACCTTTTATGAACAACTTTTTTTAACCTACCTTCTTTACTGCTTGAGGCTCCTGGAGTCGACTCTTTACTTGTTCTTCGAGGGACTCCGCCTGAACTCACACAGCTTGTCTCTGAGGAATTGTCACCTGCATTCTTCTCCACAGAACCTCCTTTGGCTTTTGGATCCATGTCTGGGTCTTCTTCTTCTGGGTTACTTGATGTTAAAGCCTGAGGAAGATGTTTGTATTTATGGATTAATTTGAGAGCTAGCAACTGCATACTGATAATGAATAAGTCTAGCAGGATATTATATACAAGTCTCCATCTACAAATACAATACTGTAATGACTTTTAACTTGAATTATTCCAAATTAAATGTATTCACTTGCATTTTTAAAGTCTGTGTATATATACACAAAGAAACTCAATACACTGATTAGTGTGGCTTGACCAATAGTGTACTGAAATGCTGCCTACAAACATTCCTCAAGCATGTTTGGGTGAAACATCTGAGTGTCTAACTGATGCCCAAAGTTTATTATGCATAACTTTACAGTATGGCAGAAGTGTGTTTGACAGGTCACTATGGCTCTATCAGCAACATTAAGGAATCTCCAAACTAGATAATCTTTCTCTTACAAAAAAATAAAAAAATAAAAAATAAATAAAATAAAATAGAATAAAAAAAAACAAAAAAAAATAAATAAATCACTTGAACTAACACACCCTAGTTTAAAAAGCTTAAAGCTTAAACCACTACCAAACTCACCTCAAGAATGTGTTGCTCCTCGAGTGTTGTGACCGTGACCTGAATGGGTTCTCTTCGTCCTCGGTGAATGGAGAGAAGAGTATCAGTCACGAGCAGCGGCCACTCAGATGGACTGGCTTCACGATCCAGTCCGCTGTCTTTGGTCCGTTTGGGAGCTGAAATGGGTTGACAAGAGGCTCTTGTAGACTTTGTTGACTTTCTTATAGAGGGAGAGAGGGAGAGAGGGAGAGAGGGAGGGATGAAGGGAGGGGAGGGAGGGAAGGGAGGGAGAAGGAGAGGGAGAGAGAGGGAGGGAGGGAGGGGGAGGGAGAGAGGGAGGGAGGGGGAGAGAGAGAGGGAGGGAGGGATGAAGGGAAGGAGAGGGAGGGAGGGAGGGAAGGAGAGGGAGGGAAGGAGGGAAGGAGAGGGAGGGAGGGAGGGGTGGAGGGTAGAGGGAGAGAGGGAGGGAGGGATGAAGGGAAGGGGAGGGAGGGAGGGAGGGAGGGAGGGAGGGAAGGAGAGGGAGGGAGAGAGGGAGGGAGGGGGAGGGAGAGAGGGAGGGAGGGATGAAGGGAAGGAGAGGGAGGGAGGGAGGGAGGGAAGGAGAGGGAGGGAGGGAGGGAGAGGGAGAGAGGGAGGGAGGGATGAAGGGAAGGAGAGGGAGGGAGGGAGGGAGGGAGGGAGGGAGGGAAGGAGAGGGAGGGAGGGAGAGGGAGAGGGAGAGAGGGTGGGAGGGAGGGAGAGGGAGAGAGGGTGGGAGGGAGGGAGAGGGAGAGAGGGTGGGAGGGAGGGAGAGGGAGAGAGGGTGGGAGGGAGGGATGAAGGGAAGGGGAGGGAGGGAGGGAGGGAAAGAGAGGGAGGGAAGGAGGGAAGGAGAGGGAGGGAGGGAGGGGGAGGGAGAAAGAGAGAAGGAGGGATGAAGGGAAGGAGAGGGAGGGAGGGAGGGAGGGAAGGAGAGGGAGAGAAGGAGGGAAGGAAGGAATGAGAGGGAGGGAGAGAGAGAGGGAGGGAGGGAGGGAGGGAGGGAGAGAGGGAGGGATGAAGGGAAGGAGAGGGAGGGAGGGAGGGAAAGAGAGGGAGGGAGAGGGAGAGAGGGAGAGGGAGAGAGGGAGAGGGAGAGAGGGAGGGATGAAGGGAGGGATGAAGGGAAGGAGACGGAGGGAGGGAGGGGAGGGGAGGGGAGGGGAGGGAGGGAGGGAGAGAGAGAGAGAGAGAGAGAGAAGGAGAGAGAGAGAGAAGGAGAGAGAGAAAGAGAGAGAGAGAGAGAGAGAGAGAGAGAGAGAGAGAGAGAGAGAGAGAGAGAAGAGAGAGAGAGAGAGAGAGAGAGAGAGAGAGAGAGAGAGAGAGAGAGAGAGAGAGAGAGAGAGAGAGAGAGAGAGAGAGAGAGAGAGAGAGAGAGAAATATAACCCCTCCTCCCTACACACACACAGGATAGAGTGTAGGACAGAATCAACATTTGGCACTCCTGCATGTTGGCCATAAAGTTATGTATCTGAATCTTTTATATAGTACCAATTTAGTTGTATAATTTGTATTAGAGTATCAATAACAATATTTAGTTACCCCCGCAATGCGTTTTCTGTACATGTGTCCCCTACCCGTTAGTAGATTACTAACTCTCCCATACCTTACAAGAAAGCATATAATTACCCAGATATAGAAGACTACAAGAAGACCCAACGTGACGAAGTTGGTGACGAAAATGGGATTACATCAAGGGATTTATTAGAGCAATGAACTGTTCATTTCAGGTCAGTACATGATGTGGTTGTGACTTCATAAGTGCATGCAAACACAACAATTGGCGACGAGTATGTGGAAGATTCAGCCCCAAGCATCAGACAATAGAGTGATTTATAGTGTTTATGTTATTCATGTTTTGCCCCACAATTTCCCTGGCAGTTTTCATGCCCTCCCTTGCTATTGGTGCCGAGAATATGGGGGTGTGGGGAAGTTCCGTGGCAAATGTCCATGTTCATTATTGGTCATGCGAAGGTATTCTGAACAATTACCTGTCGATTGCTGAATAATTTTGTGACAGAGCTGAGTGCATCCCCATTGTAAAGTATTTCAAAGGTGGTTTTCATGCATTCATTAGCTTGACTTGGTTGCCGTCCTTTCGTAAATTTTACCCTTTTCAATTGCATAAGTTATTTCGAGAAACAACCAAATAGTCATACATAGAGAAGAATAAGAATAGATAGTAATAAAAAAATATATATGGTAAATAATAATAGAAACAACCAGATAGTCATACATAGAGAAGAATAAGAATAGATAATAAAAAAATATATATATATGGTAAATGATAATTACAAGCAAACCTTTCAGTAGAAGATCCTAATTACTTTGTGATGAATATTAACCAAATGGTATAATTTTCTTTACTAATTAGTGAAATGTCTTATCCTTCAGTATCTTCAATTCTTAACCTTTTGAGAAATATTTTCGAGTGTGTGCTGCTATTAAATGGTGTAGACACTGAAGATAAATCCCTGCAAATGCCATTTTGTGTAAAATAAGACAATAATTCGGTGTCTTTTGATTCCCGATGAAACAAAGACTTTTATGACCAATTTAGAAAATATATAAAAAAATTCTTCCTTACCTTGGTATTCGATGTGTTTTAGGGCCGGACTCTCATCCGCGGTCTCCAACCTTATCACGACGAGACTGACTGACATATTTCATCCCTTGGAAGCCTAATTCTCCTGTAAATATTAATTAATTCCCTCCTTAAAGCGTTTAATTGTTTCCTTTAATTCCCATTCTGCGTCGGACTCGGAGGTTCTGCCCGTCACTCAGAGTTTCCCGATCGCGGAGCTAGAAGGGCCAATCAAAACCCTAGATTTATTTGACGTTTTAATGTATCCTGTTCTGATTGGTTGATTATTCCCACCAATGAGGTACTTCCGTGGGTGCTTTTGTGTTATGTCGGTATTGGGCAAGAATGTCTGAGGGGAGATAGTAATAGCCAATAGAAAATCATTTGTATTTAAAGCTGCGTTCTGATTGGTTAAAGAAAATCCTCCTTGTTCATAAGGGCGAGGCTCCGA